GGATCATTTTCTAGCTACTTATTGTACATAGAGTTAGGTTTTTATGTGTTTACATATCCCACACTTTTTCATTTTAACACACATAGCATTTAATTCTTTAATTTCACAACAAAAATAATATTATTATTACTTTTTAAAAGGGAAATACATATTTTCATGCATTAGTATTAAAGCGTGTCAGAATCTTGGGGTTGTACAAAAAGTCATAATAGACTCGAGTAAAGAGAAGTAGACAAAATAAGACACCTTAATTTTTACACGAAAAAATTTGCGATGGGAAAAATCACGAGCCCCAGCCAAGCTGAAATAATTTATTATGAATGTTGAGTGCACATGTTCACTATTCTTCTTAATTAGGGAATATGAAATTACAAAGATATTCATTGTAAATGTACAACAAAGATTAATTAATAAAAATCGTAGTTTGACTATAAAGAATACAGCTCTCGATGATAGTAGGTTGCGAGTGTCGTAGTCGATTGATATGGAGGCAGTAGTCGTTGTGAATGTTGTAGACGGTGGTCGTAGCGGTAGCTTGTCATATAGGTTGTAGTTGATAGTCATGATAGTTGTTGATGGTTACGTCGAAAGCATCATTTGGCTACAGAGGCCGAAGTAAGAAGACGTAGGAGTTGTGAGTCATGTAAGAGACATTTGGTCAAATGAGTCGTAATGGTGAGTTGTGATGAAGCCCATTGACTGCAGGGGTCGTAGTCTGGAGCTACATTAGCCGTGAATCGCATAGATCGCAATAGTGAGCTGCGGCGACGTCAGTAGGCCATAGAGGCCTGAGCCTAGAGCTGCACAATTGTGTGTCACATAGGATATAGTTTGTCACGTATATTGTAGTAGTGGGCTAAGATGAAATCTGCAGGATGCGGGGACAGAAGTCTGTACTTGCACAAATCGTGAATCATATAGGTCGCAGTTGGCCATGTGGTTATAGTGATGAGTTGTGACGACGTCCATAGGTTGTAATGGCTGGAGTTAGGAGCTATACAGAGAGAACCTTAAGAGTTCATAGAAAGTCTCAATCTACATCATCTTTCTAAGGGTTCACTACATTGTAAGTGGGGTGCACTGTCACATTACAATGTACGTCGAGATTCTGCAATCCACGTTATGACTTCACATAATATTTCACTGCAAGGATCAGGTGGACTCCGATGACAGTTGATGTTGACCGACAGGTGGTCGTCAAATTTGATTATGGGAAACAAGGGCGAAAGGTCGAAGGAGCTCAGCGGCAGGCAATGGCTATTGGCAGGTAATGGTGGGAGATGGTGGTGACGACCTGAGTTGGTTGGAGGTGGGTTGTCCGAAGTTACGAAGGCTGCAATAGTTGGAGTTGAAAGAAGGCAGCAGAGACCACACTTCGTCATAGACGGGGGAGATTGATGGCGCCAAATGTTGTGGATGTGGTCGGAGTTGTTGGAAGTCAGCGTCGGCTGAAGTTGCCAAGGGGCGGTGGAAACCATAGGTGACGAAGGCGACCGGGGGCAACAGTGGAGGCCAGAGGCGACGGGTTTGCGATGCAGGAGGTTGAGTTGCAGTTCTCTCCCCTGCAAGCTCTAAACTTGCTCTTGCCCAAGGTCTAGACCTCCTTCTCATGATAGGGGTAGGGCTTTATTTATAGAGTTCACGTTGCAAATAAGGAAAGAATCTGAATCACTATTGATCAGGCGAGCCAGAGAGATCTCTTTAACTAAATGACAATTAAAAGATATTTTAGTGTCTTAATAATATCATAATCTTGAACCCGTTGAATTTTTCTTGCTGAGGCGCTCGATTTGAATATAAGCATGTCATTTTCCAAATTCACTTGACCATCCAATTATGCTCAGAAATCTTTCAAAAGTAGTTTGTTGGGTTGATTTGGGTTTTATTTGACTCGGATTGGACTAATTTTGGTATCGTTAGGTCCATCTTGTCGAGCTGCTCAGTTCGACTGTATGCTTGCTGAAATTGAAACTCTAGACGACTTTTAATCAAAATTTGAACATCTCTTGCTTGAATATTATCTCGAGATCCATTTCATATCTCGAGATTTGCGTATGATGATGGTGGTCTATCAGGTATAAAATACTACATGATATGCATGCAAAAATGAAAGTTTAGGAGATATATAAATACATAAAAAAATGTGTTCTACTTATGTTTCCAAAACCTTAATACAGGTTTATGAATGAAAAACACATAATAATATACCATAATTACATAATTTTTTTTCTTGAAAAATATTGAACCCACTGAACATGTAATTATTTTATGCGCCAAAAAAAAAAAAATCGTATTTCCCCCTTTAAAAATTCAATTAATTAAGCACCGTCCAATATATACTTAAAAATATGAGACAGCTGGGATATGATTCCGACTTGATAAATTAAAAATAAATAAATAAATATGCCATGAGTTAAAATATCAATTTCGTCAATGAATGGTTAAGAGACTAACTAATAAGAGCTAGTCTTTTAATTTAAAATATAGTGGAAATTATATTTATATCATCCAAAGCTCTAATAGCTAATAAAAATATCGTTACTTTAATTTTTAAAAATTAAAATATATTAGGAAGAGTTTATGTTAAGAAGATTGATATTAGGTAAACTAATTAGAGAATATCTAAATATATTATCTTTTATATATTACAAAGTTTGATATTAGATAAACCAATTAGAGAAAATCTAATTATAGGATTTTTTAAATTAGAAATATTTCTAATTTATATGTCATAATCCTCTCTTATTTGCAAAAGAGATTACAACTGATTGTTATGTGTCGAGTTATAATCTTATCTGAGTTGTTTTTCCTCTTTCCCCACCTATTGATAGTGGAATAACCCCTCCACATAAATTTAGGTGGATTTCCGTCGGTCTACATAAATTGTAATAAGTTTGATTGTTTGTTTATTGTGTGATTTTAATTTTTGCATAACATGTGTGTATACATGTTAAATCTTAATATATCATGTGAATCACAACTAAGGAATGAAGCATAGAAAAATGTGAAAGAGATAGAGAAAACATAACAATGAATAGTAGAATGAGACGATTGTAACATTTTATTCTTGAAATGATCCTATATTTGCAAACAAAGGGGGTACAACGCGTGAAGTTATATGTATGCCTCTATTTAAGTATAGATTGTACAAGTAATTCTAGATATTTAACCAATGTGGGCCCAGGGCCTTATCGCTCTGCTCGACTGGCTGAAGTTGGTAAGGCTTTAGTGAGCCTTGTCGTCGGCTGGATCTGGTGGTGTTGGATGGTTTAGTAGATGTTGTCGATTGCTCACTAACTGTGGATCAGTAGTACTGGTTTGATCAGCCAAATTGTGCCAATCAATAGGCGCATTGTGGTAGTTGACCAGTTGGTAAGGCTTTAGTGAGCCTTGTCGTCGGCTGGATCTGGTGGTGTTGGATGGTTTCATAGAAGTTGTCGATTGCTCGCTAACTGTGGATCAGTAGGACTGGTTTGATCAGCCAAATTGTGTCAATCAATAGACGCGTTGTGGTAGTTGACCCTTGATCTCCACCAAGGAGCTTAAGTTGATAGGGTGGGGCAATGTCATCGGACACAGGGGGGGAAATCACAGAATCTGATGGGCAGCCTTCCCTTGGACGAGAGAATCCTAGTGGGATTGCTGAAACTGTTGTATTCTCTTTAATGATATTTGAGAAGACGACTGAATGATTCTTGTATGACAGAGTCATGGGGAAGACGTGATGGTAAATTTGGCATACTCTTCGCTTGTCGCTTGAGTGAACCGCT